TTGCTTTTTCAAAAGGAAGCAATGCGAAGCATAAATATTTAATTTGTAAATATAATAATCCGTGTAATAAAACGAAATAAGCTATAGATCGATATTTCATTAATATTTCGTAAATGTAAATATAAAGATAAAATCTTTTAGATAAAACTTTTCAGATAAAAGTAAAAAAATATAATAAATTTTTTGTTAATAAAATATACGTAATCTCTTCGCCTTCTTTCTTTATATAGACGATATTTATAATATCAACCTCGAAATATATGGCTTGTCAAAAGACGAGCAATCCGTGCCGCGAAGCAATAGTACACCTCAGTAATATTCGCGACATGACACGGAAACCTTCTAAGGTGACGAACACTTTCACAAATATCCCGCGCTCCTAGGCAGAAGGCGCAGCGGAACGTAACGGGTATAACGAAAATCGATCCACAGCCCGACATCCGCAGCATTGCAATGTGCAATATCACGGTACGGATTCCACACGGCGCGACATTCCACGTCACACGACCGCGTGTCGGTGCTATCGCGTATCTTTCGCAGTGAGGAGTTTAACGAGGTTCCGCGCGCTAATCGACGAATGAATATGGATGGAGCATGCATTAATTCGTCATTTTTCAACTCGCCGTCTCGCAAATGCCCCCGTTTACTATCTGCGTTTCATGACGCCTATCTTTTAACAATCTCCGGCTGCGTGCGAGAATTCGTTCTCGCGCCGCTTTCCCTTTAATCGCTACCAACGATTTCGTATTCATTGTCTGTGCCCGCCGATCGACTCGAGAAAGATGCTTCCCTCCCCTTCCCATTCTCTGGGTCGGCCTCATTGCCGACAGCCGTAATGATTCGACTCCAACTTTGATGCACCCGCGTAATCTAGAGTCAGGGGTATCGTATACGGAATAAATTTTCAACGAAGGATCTTGGGCTCGGGGCGATTACCGCCGGATACAGAATGTAAATGTTACTCGTGCCGGATGAGAACTGAGGATCCCTCAGGTTACTTTATATCCACTTAAGTATGCGTAGTCAGAGGGCGGCCAAGCCAAATTAGATTGCCGGTAGATCCTTTTTATAAATGTATCGCGAGTCGAATCGATAACTAAGAAACTTTCTATTAATAAAAAAGTATATGTACGTGTATCTATATAAAGATTTATATATATATATATATATATATA